TTCGCGGTGCGGCCGCCCCCGGGACTGGCCAGGGACACTCGCATTCGCTCTGACCCTCCAGCCCTTCCCCAGGGTGCCTCGCATCCCGGGCGCTTGCTGGGCGGCCGCTGCACACCGAGCAGCCGTTTTCAGAGCCCGCCCAGGGCGACTCCGAGACCACCAAGCTCATTTTGTAGGCCTAGCAGGGTTCTGGCTCCCCGGGGACATTACTCTGCACTGCTCTCCAGCCTGAGCGGCGCCAGAGGGGTCTCATGCACCTCGCCGCATGCCGGGCTGCAGCCTCTTACGAACGCTTGCTGGGCGGCCGCTGCACACCGAGCAGCCGTTTTCAGAGCCCGCCCAGGGCGACTCCGAGACCACCAAGCTCATTTTGTAGGCCTAGCAGGGTTCTGGCTCCCCGGGGACATTACTCTGCACTGCTCTCCAGCCTGAGCGGCGCCAGAGGGGTCTCATGCACCTCGCCGCATGCCGGGCTGCAGCCTCTTACGAACGCTGAGCCGAGCGAAGTGCTGTGCGGCTGTGACTGCTTCCTGCACGCTTCCCCGCTCGCCTGTTCCCAAGCTGCCTCCAGGGCCCCCGGGTCCTGCATCCGCCCCCCGATACACCCCCATCAACGCACCCCCGCACAGCCTCAGCCCTGGCACGGGACTGGCCACGGTGCTGGAGCCAGGACCAGTGACTTGGGGAAGGGCATTTGGGAGATGCTTGGGTACGTGTAGAGCTTGAGGACGTACAGGCCAGCGGTGCTCAGCAGAAGCAGCACCAGGACGGTGCCCCCGGGTCCTGCATCCGCCCCCCGATACACCCCCATCAACGCACCCCCGCACAGCCTCAGCCCTGGCACGGGACTGGCCACGGTGCTGGAGCCAGGACCAGTGACTTGGGGAAGGGCATTTGGGAGATGCTTGGGTACGTGTAGAGCTTGAGGACGTACAGGCCAGCGGTGCTCAGCAGAAGCAGCACCAGGACAGTGGCCAGAGCCATGACAAGGCCCCAGAGGGAATCTGAAAAGAATTAACAACAGTTCTAGAGGGGTGGGGGAACCCGATCACCTGACTGCTGCACGGACGCCGGCGTGTGCTGCGCCCGCCAGTCACAGCCAAGGAGGCCGCGGCGTGCTCAGCGCCTGACCTGCACTGGTGCCCCAGGCGCTGCCCTTGCTGTGCCCACAGAGGGGCCAGAGATCTCCTAGCAGAGGAAGGGGAATGCTCTCCCCTTGGTATTCAAACCCTGGACTTGCCCCGGGCTCTCTGAGCAGACAGAGCAGGGGGCGCCGCCCACCCCATCTCCAGCGAGGGCCTCCAGTCACTGAGCCATAGGCACGTCCTGCTCCTGGGGCCGGCAGAGTCCATGTGGCTCTCCTTTGCCCAGGCTGCTGGAACAGGCTCACAGCTGGGGGAGTTTCCAGGGCACAGCTGTGGCTACCTCCTTGTCCCGCTCGGGGGCTCCCCTCACAAACTCCTTAGCAAACCCCCCGGAGCAATGACCGTGCCCACGGAGCTCTGTGCAGTCTCCCAAGTCAGCCGCACAGGCTACGAGTCCCCTCCTCTTACAGAGATGCAGCCATGTCAGTCTGCTCTGAGTCATCAGCAGTCTCTAGAAATCTGATCCAGACTTAAACAGAAGCTCAGCCATATATATTCATTGAAGCAGGCTGCGAAGTAATTGTTTAGTGTCTGTCATAATATTTCATTCTTGGTATTCTCCACTATTTATTCCAATAGAACAGTTTGTCTATTGCATCTGTACTTAGATAAGTATTTCCTAACTCTGCTTTATTGCATATAAGTGTCTGCCCAATCCTTTTGGGACTGCGTGCTTCTTAAATACTTGAAACCAGAGGTTTAAACATGTGAATTGTATTGCACTTTTGTTCAACCACAGCATGAATAACAGTTCAGAGGTTTCTATTTAAAGTCTGGTGTTAAAATGTCTTTGAAGAAGTATGCAGGTAATCAAGTCGTTGAGACGATGCCCCTTCTGGTTGAAATGGCAAGAAACCGTTTTTTCTTTGTGATACTGTCTGATATCCGTTTTGTGTGCATTGATTCGTTGGCAAAGTGTCTGAGACGTTTGTCTAATGTACATAGCAGAAGGACACTGTCGGCACATGATGACATAAATTATGTTTCTGGATGAGCAGGAATATGTGTTGTCCAATGATCGTGTCAGCAGAGTAAATATGTGGACAAAGTTGGCAACGGGGTTTGTTGCAAGGGAAGGTACCAGGGTGGGTATTAGTGTGGTATGTCCTGTGGTTGTTGGTAAGAATCATCCTGAGGTTAGGTGGTTGTCTATAGGAGACTATGGGTCTGACTCCCAGAGCCTCTCAGAGGGTAGTATCCTGTTCCAGTATAGGCTGTAGTTTGATAATGTGTTGGAGGGGTTTAAGTTGGGGGCTGTAGGTGATGACAAGTGGTGTTCTATTGTTGGTTTTCTTGGGTCTGTCTTGTAGTAGATGGTTTCTAGGTATTTGTCTGGCTCTTTCAATTTGCTTTTTTATTTCTCTGGGTGGGTAATTGAGGTTTATAAATGCTTGGTAGAGATCCTGAAGTTTCTGGTCTCTGTCAATGGGATTAGAGCAGATGTCAGCATTGCATTACATTACAGCTACCATTACAAAGATAGCTTCCCCAATTATCACCTCTAATATCATCTAATATATGGTTGTGCCAATTTTCTTCCACAATTTGATCTGAGGAAGTGGGTCTGGCCCACGAAAGCTCATCACCTAATAAACCATCTTGTTAGTCTTTAAAGTGCTGCCCAGTCTTCTCCTCTTACAGACTCTGCTCTGTGGCTGGGAGGCAACGCTCGCTCCGTCCCCGCACTGACGCCCGGGATCTGAGCAGGTAGCACGGCAGCGGCACTGCCCTGTTGGGCCGTACCTGCCGGACGGTCCGGAGTCTCAATACATCGCGCAGCCGCCTTGCTCGCCTCTCTGCTCACGCGGGCTGTGACGCAGTAACTGGTGCTGGCTTTCAAGGACTCAAAGGTGTGTGATGTGATCTTGCCCACGGGCTCCAGGGACACCTTCGGCGAGAGGGAGACCGTGCCTGAGACCCCCGCCTACCACTTGCGGCCCCGCTCCCTGGCTCCTCCTGGGACAGCCTGCAGCGGAGGGCGGCGGCCAGGAGCGAAGGGAAGCACGGCCGTGTGTCTTAGCCAGGCGCACACTAACGCATGCCCTTGCAACCTGGCAAGGAGTCCTGCATGCTCAGGACGCAACGCAAGCGCTTCCAACGTCACTTCGACCCCGGCAGCCTTCTCATCACGCCCGGAGCACCAGGAAATAGAAGCGTCTGCGCCTCAGTCTCCCATTCTCTGCTTTCTCCGCCACATCCCCCTCCACAACTCGCCTCTGACTGAGGCACCCTGCTCCATCGGGCCCCCCTCCCGCCCAGCACTCTGCCTTTCTCCAGACTTCCCTCCAGCGCAGGTCGTCTTAGAGCAGGACTCAGGCAGCTCTAATCACCTCTCAGAAGTACTCTGCAAACCTATTCCCTAGCTCAGCCTGCAGTTCTGTTCCTGAAGTCTTCCCCCTTTACACCCGTCATCTACTGGGGTCAGACACATTCCTCTCTGCCCTGCACTGCCAAGAGATCCAACCGGTCTCCTGGTTAGGGATGGATCCTCCAGTCTGGAAAAAGAAGAAACCACCCCCATCCTCAAGCCTTCTTAGGATCCAGCTCTAGAAACAACCTCGATCCCCATCTCCAAACTGCTGGACCCAGAAGCAGAGGTGCCAAACCACCAGCAGGAAGGGTGGAAGCTGGGACCAGAAGCTGAAGGCCCAGAAAGCCTGATCTCATCAAATTTCCAACCCAATTTTGCTGAGTCAGGAAGATCAAACAAGCAACCAAACTGACATTTTCTACCCAAACCAGCCCCTTGTGAAAGTCACCCAGCCTCAGGCCGCACAGACGTGTGGAACTGCCTCTGCCTCCCGACAGGCTGTGCACGTAGCTTACGCTGTTGATGGGAACACCTTCTTCGGAAAGGCTGAGCCGGTACATCCAGTTGGGTAGCACTTTCTGGACTGACTTGTAAGTGCCATTTCTCCTGCGATAAGGGGTGAGTGGCATGGAGAGATTTACCGTCAGATTCTCATTCGCCAATGTCAGAGTCAGGTTAGGGGGACCCAGAATCGCTGTGAAATCAAAAGAGGAAAGGCACAATTGTCAGGCGCCTTGTTCCCTTGGAACCAATCACCTTCTTTTTCGAGATTCCGGTCTGAGTTTGGTAACTTCATCCTCTCTCCTGGGGGCGGAGGGCAGCTCCATCGGGTGCTGACAAACCCAACTCAACTATTCAGCTGGCTCCCTCTCATTAGCACCTGCTCCCTGCTAACCTGTCCTGTGCTTCTCGCACTGCAGTCATCTCAGGCCTGCTTAACCCTGCAAGGGGCATGTCTCCACTCTGCAGAGAGAGGGCTCTGTCCGCACAGCCGGGGCTGACAGTCAGCTTGTCAGAATCCTTCCACCCCGAGGAGGGGCTTTGCGGCTGGCAAGAGAGAGGGCTCTGTCCGCACAGCCGGGGCTGACAGTCAGCTTGTCAGAATCCTTCCACCCCGAGGAGGGGCTTTGCGGCTGGCAACTCCAGACAGCGTGCACTAACCTGCAATGACAGCAGCCCCCGGCCAGCCCTTCCCAGGCGGAGATGCCCTGTCCTCGGTCAATCAGACTGAAGGCACAGCTTTCCGCGCACACCAGCCGCGTGCACAGGGTGCGTGTGCTCAGCCACATGGACGGCGAGAGCGGCCGCTGCAGCGCGCCCTACCGTGCGGCAGGTTCCTCTGATGCCAGCCGGTGGGGCACGT